GATGGTTTCCTGCTCTATCATCACCTTCTGGTGGTTAAGATAAGCAGGACACAGACAAAGTGCACGCATTAAAAGGGAACTAGGGCTGTGGAAAATAGTGCACAGAGTCTAAATCACAATGAGGCAATGGATACATTTAGGAAAGCTGCTATATTTGGGCTTTAGAAATATGAATTAAAGCTGTAAAGCCAAAACTATTATATTTGATGCATGAGTTTTTGGGACCTTTCAGTGTGATTTTTTTTTTCTTTTTCTGAGAAACCTGAACAAATTTTACAGTGACTTTTTAAACCAATACATTGCACGATATAGCAAAAAAAAAAAAAAAAATTTACAAATTAAAACCTATATGTGGACAGTAACATTTAATTTATTATTTTTTAATAGTTAAAGGATTAAAATAAAAACTCCAGTTTAAAAAATATAAATAAGAATTTATGTCATGGACTATAGAATACATCTCATCAAGTTGTTTAAATCATGAAGACCAATGCACTATAGATGCTGAGTTCCAAAAACTGTGTAAATGTTTTGTGTTTTGTTGAGTCACTGTGATCAGATTCTTGATTGATTTGATGTATTTCAAGTAAATATCACTTGTACTATTGTACTGCTTGCAAATATTTGTATTTATATTTTAACAAATTGTGAATAAAGTTATAATCAAAGGTATTAGTAACTATTAATCGGGGGGGAAAGAACTAAAATTATTGTCATTACAAAAAGCGAGGAATCTCATCTGCAACATAATGCTGGTCGCAAGAATGCAATACCTCGTTTTAATGGCGCCATCGCGAGGAAAAACATGACAATGCCCAGAGCTCTTTGAGTAAGTCATTCGAAATACTAAGTGTGCATTGTATTTAATAAGAAAGAGCACTTATCCTCATGCTAGTGCGCTTAATCATCATTGATAGTCACCTTACAGTCCCATTATGTCGTTTCCGAAAGTCTTAGTCAGAGATTAGCGGTCAGAGTTATCACGACATGACTGAAATAACAAGGAAGAACAACTGTCAGAAAATGATTAACTTAAAAATGTTTATTTTTTTCAAGAAAATATAGTAATTATATTATTATTTGACTGTGGTTATTTAGCATTCTTTTAAAAAAAAAAGAAAAGAAAAAAAAGACCAAGTTTAAAATATATGAGAGTAAGGCTTGCAAGTTAAACTATCCACAGATTTAACTACACTTTTTGTATAATACAAACTACAGTAGAAAAGGTAGTTTTGAAGTTCTGTATTTATATATTGTAATTACCCGCTAAGCACTTCCGGGAACTATCTGAAGGCTAGTCGATTCACGTGACGATCATGTTCTTTTTAGTTTTCTCAAAAATTTGTTAACAATTAATGCCAGGGATACATAAGAGGGAATAACTAGGGAGGAATATAATAAT